AAACCAAATAAAGGCTTTTCCTTTTGAATCCAAGTACGAAGAGCATTGTGCTTGCGTTTCATGTTAAAATCACGCATGTTCCAAGCAAACAAAGACGTCATAACTTCCTACTGGAAACTTTCTTGGAAGTGACTGTCGTTCCCATAAACTTCAAATCTCTGGATCTTACCACAACCTTCTTGTTAGGCTTACTTATTCCAATCGAACCGGACTGCTTCCCTTGTGGCTTAGTCATCAGTTAACTTTCTCTACCTTATCATCTGTTATTTCTCCCTCTTCAATGTCCTTTCCTTCAACCACAACAGCATCATCCTCTCCTTCCTCCTCGATTCCAAGAAAAGGACTGAATCGAGAAGGTGAGCCAAAGTCTCTGTTCTCTGCTCGAGATTAATATCCACCTCTGTACCCCTGTTGGATGGGATTAAATCTCGCCCTAGACCATGCGATGAAGCCCACTGTCCATCAGTTGCTGCTAGAAACGCCTCGGTCATAGGTTCTGATATTTGTATACTCGGTGAATCTCCTCGCATTAAGTCGTTTGTATGATCAGGCTCTCCCAAACCAATGTTATTGCTTCCAACTCGTGAAGAAAGTGTCTCATATCATTCCCTACAGTCTTAGAGTCTTTCACACAGTCTTCAGGCACTGGAGAAAAAACCTTGTCTTGCTCCCCCTCTGTTGTTTTCTTCAAACTAGCAATCCCTTTTCCTTTGCATTTTTCTCCTTTATGACCCCAACTGTGACACACATTACACCTTGCAGGCAGTCAGGGAAAATTCAAAGTTTACTTTAATATTAAAAATTTACATAAAAATCACCAATGGTCACCATTGACCTATGCATTACAACTGTAATGGCATAAAAAATAAAAGATAGATAAAAAATATATTTTTTAAGTTTTAAAATTTTACTTTTTCAAATTCGAATTATTTCTATTTTTTAATTTGTTTTCGAAACTTTTTTTGTTTAAAAAAAATCATTTTAAAGTTCAAAAATTCTTTTTGAAACTAATTTTAATTTTAATTTTAATTTTAAATACTTATTTATATTTTTATTAAAATTTTAAAACCTATTCTCTAAAATATTTGTCCACAAATCTTAATCTTAAATTTAGATTAGTTACGCTAGATTATAATTTTCTGTTTATGTTTTTAAATTCAAGGATAAATATGGATAAAGCAAAGATGAAATATATTATTAAAAATGTTAGTTTTGATAATTTCTCTTATGTAACGTAAATTTCACTTTTACCTTCAATTTCCATATTATATCGTCAATTACTATATATTTTTGGCAAGTTGTTAATATTAGTTTTCAAAAACTAATACGTAATATATGCTAAATGATCAAGTTTCTCTAAAAACTAATATTCACTACCCTAATGTGGATTAGAATATTCACATGATAAGTGGTACGAATTTATGATGATAGTTGATTACGCTAAGCAAATGTTATGCAATAATTATGAGTCAATCAAAATATATTACTTCGCAAGGTTAGCAGCATGGATTATTCACGAGATTTATCCAGGCTACGAAATTAATTATAGCTGGCAATTTTAAAACTGTAGAAAGTACTATAATTAAGAAATCATCATATAGGAACAATATTAACTTTGAAAATTAAGCTCATCGACTATAACTAAATTGACGTGTTCTGGTAGTATTCCAAATTTTTGTGTTTCCAAACTTAAAGAAATAATAGTTTAAATTGTCATATTAACGGATTTGAATTGTTCAAAAAGTATATTAGAATTTAAAACTACATAATTTCAGAAACAATAGTTGTCGTAGCAATTTTACACCTACCAAAAATACAAAAAAATTATACAATCTATAACTCCGGAAATATTTTCTCACCAAATTAATTTAATAGAATCCCATAATATTTATACATTCACGAATACAATTCAATTTTGTTTGATATACACGAAACCGGTTATTAAACTGAATTGGGTGTTTGTTAAAAATCTCTTTTATAATCTAAACATATTTCAATTGATATACGATAAAGTCTATTAATATTTTTATTCTATTGATATATGATAAAATCTATTAACAGAATAATGGTTTAACCATATGGTTGACTTAATAATTCATCCCGAAGCCACTACAATCATTTAGAGTAATGTTTGTATCATTATACTCAAAATAGCTCCATGACTTCTTATATATTTTATTGGGAATATGAAACACAGATGATATTATATATCGCCATTTTGATTTTAGTGGATTGTATTCATGATGCAAATGACCAATATATCATGATGTCTCGATTTTATGTAAAAATAATAATTATAGAGTATAAAGGTGTTGGAAAATTCCTCCTCGTACGTGGTCTATGGCAAATCAAAATTTTTTTTTGGCATAAGACAATCCAATTTCGTGAACATTCACTATAGAACTGGTTTCTGAATCTAATAATGAGGACGCATATAATATATCATGGTAAGTTAAAATATAATTATCAATGGCGAGATATGTAATTAACTTACTAAGAGCATCTCTGGAAAATTCCTCCTCGTACGTGGTCTATGGCAAATCAAAATTTTTTTTTGGCATAAGACAATCCAATTTCGTGAACATTCACTATAGAACTGGTTTCTGAATCTAATAATGAGGACGCATATAATATATCATGGTAAGTTAAAATATAATTATCAATGGCGAGATATGTAATTAACTTACTAAGAGCATCTCCAAAAAGACACTTTATTTTAGAGTTTGTAAAACTCTGTATTTGAAGTTTGTGAGTGTTATGCTCCAAAAACAAAACTTCAAATTTAACTTTAAAACTATTTGTATTTTATACTATGGTTCTTATATTTGTCATAATTAGTTTAAATTCATAGAACTTTTATAAATAACTAGCACATATATAAAATATTACAGCAATATTAAATGGTAAAATATTATACTAAAATATGAATTATTAATAGAAATATATAATTAAATGTTAAACTATAAATAAATATCAACTTAAGTTTTGTAATATTGTTGTTTTCTAGTTCTAATTTTAACTGTTTTTAATCTTATCTTGTTTCTTTTTTGTGAAAACAATAAGTGTAAAATTTAAATTTATAAAAAAAAACTTGAAATACTAACGAGATATGAATTTTCAAGGGTTAAAATGATATAAACATAAAATATATAAGACTTATAAATATAATGTATAATTATAAGGATCAAAATGCAAACAAAAATATGAAACTTCAAATTTGAAGTTTTGAGTAGTGGCACTCTATATTTGAAGTTTCACTACTCAAAACTTCAAATTTGAAGTTTTAGAGTTCCTTTTTGAAGAACCAAAAACTTCATATTTGAAGTTATAGAGTGTCTTTTGGAGATGCTCTTAGAAAAGGGTCTTTAAATATACAGAAATTGGCACAAATATACCTAAACACACCTATATTATGTCACATAACCCTAACTTAGTCAATCTTTTTTTCTTGACGATTTTACCCTTACCAGATCACACATCTCATTCTCTCTCTCTTCTCTTTCTTATCTTCTAATCTCTTTATCTCTCACACATGTCATGTTTATGTTTTCATTTCTTCATCATAAATCTCTATTTTTTACTCTGATTCTTTTGACACCCATATTGCTAATGTTTTTATCTCACACTAATTCTATTATCAAATCTTGAAATATATTTGGATAATATGTAAGTTAGTAGCTATTTCATTATTTACCCGTTATTATTATATTTTAATGAATTTGTAACCGATACATAGAGTGTTAGCTTTTACAGATAAGATTACGGCTATTTGATAGATAATTGATTAACGGTTAATATATGTATTTTTATGATAATAGTATTGTTAACATGCTAACTTGTTTGTTAGCGATTTATTTAACACGTTAATAAATAGACATAACCCGATAAGAAAATTTGTAGCATGTTAAAATTTTATCAATTTGCTAACAATTTTTATATCATGTTAAAATTGATAAATATCTCTTAGTGTTCAGTTAACATAATGTGTATCCGCTAAATCTAGAATTACATGTTTTCGATAAAGTAAGAGGGTATTTTCGTCTGCATGGCGTCAAAAGGTTACTCCTTTTTGGATTATCCACAACCATGGACATTCGGCCAATTTGGATCTTCGTTAGGTATATTACACCAATTATCTCTTAAATATATGGTGTGAGAGTGATTGTGGTGTTGCTACATAGGAAATGATATTTTTGATAATTATACACGAGATAAAGGTTATTTAATAATAGTGGTTCTCAAATAATAAGAATGAGATTGTATATAGATCAAGAAATATTTAAGTTACTGATATCAATACTTCAACAAAAATGTAAATAAATAAGCTTTTTTATTATCAAATTAGCTTTAAAAACCATTAATAGTAACAATTTGTTATCCATTTAAAAACATAGTGTACGTTTTCTAGTAGGTAGAAGATAACAAACTACTGCCACTATAACATATAGATAGGACATAGTTTACGTTATGAAAACCATTTATAGACATCACCAAAAATATAAAATGAGTCAAAATATTAGTGTAATCACATTATCATGAGTCATATCAGTGGCATCCCTTTGTAATTATTCTAGTTATAAAAGGGTTAATTTAAAAGGAGATTGAGAAGGATTGTCATGCTGACACACTGACACATCAGCATCATGGTACTGATGTAAATAAACTACCAATTTAAAGTTGCTTTTTGAAATTGTTTATGTATTAATAATAGGGGGATTTAAACGAAAACATATTCCTATTTTATTATTTTAAAAAGACTAGATCTCTAGCTTATAATATTTTCTTTTAAAATGGTATGATTTTATTGCCATATACAGAAGATTTCTTTGACCAAGTAGTCTAATTTCCTAAAACAAAGTCAGAACTTGACTATAATCATTTTCTATTGAGTAATTTTTATTGTTTGTACAGTAAATAATTTTTTTTCTTAAGAAACAAACTCCAAATCCATCGAGAGTTGCCTTCGTGTCTACTCAATTGGCCGCCTTCATTCAAACACCATGAACATCAAGTTAGCAACTTTCACTTTCTTACAGATTTCTACCTGGTGATTGTTTGGTTAGTAATTTTGTATGTGTTTTTCACCAAGTGTTTTATAGAACAGGAAAGCTTTACGGAATCTCTATCTCTCTCATTCTCATCAACTTAGCCACACTAATGCAAAGAGCAGACGAAAAACTCATCCCTTCGGTTGCCAAAGATGTGAAAGAAGCGTTCAATGCAACCCTCTCTGATATTGGCTACCTATCATTTATAAGAAACATTGTTCAAGGACTTGGATCGCCTCTAGCTGGGTTATTTGTCATTACTTATGATCGTCCTACAGTTTTCGCAATCGGTTGTTTTTGTTGGGTCTTATCAACTGTTGCAGTTGGAGGGAGCCACTTCTTCACCCAGGTTTTATTCGATTTACATATGGTTTTATCATGTTTTAAAAGCTTTCTTTTGGTTACAATATTAGCTTTTGCACAGAATTAGCCATTCATATGACTATCTTTATATAACGAATGATAATATGTACACAATAGATATGGTTGATTTAAAAAAAAAGATATAGTTGATTAGAATTAATATTATTTCTTTGACTAGGTTACCGTTGGTGTAGCATTCAATGGGTTTGGACATGCAATTGTTTATCCAGTGCTTCAGTCGATAATAGCTGATAGTTTTAAGGATAGTGCAAGAGGTTTTGGTTTTGGTTTATGGAATCTTATTGGTACGGTTGGAGCTATATGTGGAACCGTCCTAGCAACGGTCATGGCTGGTCATGATATCTTGGGAATCCCAGGGTGGCGGTGTGCGTTTATGTTGATGGCAACAATGAGTTCAATGATAGGGGTTCTAGTTTTTCTCTTTGCCGTTGATCCAAGGAAAAATAAAAATATCAACTTCGTTTCTCATCATGAACGGTAATATAACACATAAAAAGTGTATTTTCTTTAAGATATTTAGTTTTGATGTTTTCTTGCGGTTTTGTAGAGATGATGAAGTTACGTTTCTTAAAGGGAAAAGCTACGATGCTGCAACAAATGATATTATGAGCTCGGTTTGGATGGAATCATGGGTGGCTATAAAAGATGTAACCAAGTTACAAACATTTCAGATCATCGTCTTGCAGGGTATCGTTGGTTTGTTTCCGTGGAATGCAATGGTTTTCTGGACAATGTGGTTCGAACTCATTGGTATACATCCCTTCTTATACTTAAAAAACTTTTTTAAAGTAACTATATAGGCCTGAAGACCTGTACATCTCATAGAACAAGTCCCAAATCATATTAAATTAATTCTCTTTTTCTTTTGAGATTAGAGATCAAATTCAACATGTTACCCCTAGAATGAATTGGTCCAAAACACCCAAATTCACATTTATTCTGTCTAAACTGAATGGTTCATTAAATCTTTAACTCCTTAAACTTTACCCCACACAACATACTTATTACTACTAATTATAATCAATTTATCTAATAGAGATTGTGTCATTTTCTAAAAGAGTTTTCAATAATTTAGTTAAGCCAATATTAATACTTTTTATAAGAAATATCTTGATTTTTTTTTCCTCAACAAACCCAAGTCAATGCCAACTAAACAGCTCGAGTTGAGTAAACCTAAAACGTTCTAACTCTTATTTATATTCGACAATATTTTTATGAAACATGGACTTCAACTACATTTTCTTAGTTCTCAATTTTTTTTATTATTCAGGTTTTGATCATAACAAGACAGCATCTCTGAGCGGGATTTTCACAACCGGACAAGCAATAGGATCTTTGGTTGGAGGAATTGTTGCAGACAAAATGTCTCATATATTTCCAAACTCAGGGAGAGTGATTTGTGCTCAGTTCAGCGTTTTCATGGGAGCTATATTTTCCATTATTCTCTTAAGAATAATCCCACAGTCCACTAGCAGTTACTACATCTTCTTGGTCACTCTTTTTCTAATGGGTCTCACCATAACTTGGTGTGGACCAGCAATCAACTCTCCAATTTTGGCTGAAATTGTTCCTCCTACGCATCGAACCATGATCTATGCCTTCGATCGTGCACTCGAAGTGTCATTTTCATCGTTTGGTGCACCTTTGGTTGGCATTATGTCGGAGAAGGTTTTTGGGTTTGACGCAAAAAGAATTGATAATATTATAGACTCTGGCCGTGAGGCAGAGGCGTTGTCAAAGGGAATCATGTGGATGATGGCTGTTCCGTTTGGATTGTGTGGTCTTTGCTATACACCATTGCATTTAATTTTGAGAAAAGATCGGAAAATCGATAGAACACTGAGTTCAAGGGAGGCTGAGATGATATGATCATTAGGATGCTCGTCATTAGCAGGTTTTAGGCTTTCGCTATAAATCAGTAAAACAGTCAGGTTTGTATTTACTTGTTTTCGATGGTTTTCATATTTGTTCAGAAAAAAATATTAATCATAATATTGGCGGTTAACATTTGTGTTTGTTGGATTTTATTTTAAAACTAGTTTTCTGTGTGCGGTATGCGCGATACTTGTCAATCGTATGATTTTTAAGAATATTTCTTTCAAAATCGTTGCCTATATTCTGAACAACTCGGATTATGCGAATCTCTGTCTATCTCTCATTCCATTTTCCTGGATTTTATCTTTAACTTTCCCTCATTCAGCAGCTCTCTCTCTCTCTTTTAGCGCATCGAGAAGTACGTTTTTGAAGGTTATGGATTTTCATGTCATCGATTATTGTGTATAAATGTTTTTAAAGTTCCCCTTGTTAATGGTACAATTTATTTCGAAATTGTTATCTTAACCTTGCTAGTAAATAGTTGTTTTCATTTGTTTTGAGTGGATTTATGGCAGGAACATTATGGAGAATGATATCAACTGGTTCATTGTTTGTATGGTCAACCTTTCCAGTAGCTTGAGGTTGTGTTGTTCCTACTAATGAAGTTGAATCCCTAGTGGTTATCCTAATTGTTACTCATGTCTCAGTTTTGGTGTTAACTTCAATCTGTAGAGCTTCATATGTGCTCTCCATTTGGTGTAGCTTAATCTCACTTCTGAGCTTATGGACATCGAGTTAGAGGACTTCCCCATGTTTTTGGTTGTTTAAGTGTAACTAGAACTTGACCCGCGTTTAGAAAGCGCAGATTTGTTTTGAAAATATATATTATTTTCAATTGAATTTCTATACAAGATAGTATATAGGTTTAGATATATTTATTTGAAGCCAGAACCAAACCGTACCAGATTGGAAACAGAAACCAAAATTGAACTGAATTTCACAAATAATAATTAGTCAGCAAAGAAAAATTATCAAGGGTTTTATAACAGATTATATATCAATGTTTAGTTTTAAAATATTATTCATTATATTAGACGAACAAATTAATTGTTATACATAATTAGATTTGTTAACCGTCTAACAATGAATATGTTTGCCATATAATCATGAATTTGAATGGATATGCTATCTGTATAACAATTAACAGATAAGGATGGCCGGCATTTCACTAAGAATGTATAATTAGATATGTTGGTATAAATAAATTGTTATATTTTATTGGATATTCTATCTGTATAACAATTAACTAGGTAATAACCCGTGCTATGCGCGAAATGAAATAGTTTATTAGATTATTTTTGTTTGTTGTATTAAAGAATTTGTTGAATAACTTTTTCTAGGGATGTGCATCTATATATCCGTTCGGATTCAGTTGATCTGTTCGGATTTTGGATTTTTAGCGTTAAAAATTTAAATTACATTCAGATATATACATTTTTTTATTTAGATTTGGTTCGAATCATTCCGGGTTCGATTCAAATTCGAGTTCAGATACCTATTTTGATTATGTATTTTTTAACATAAATTCAAATATACTTCTTCTTTTCGTCATCGACATACATACTCAATTAAGACTCTGTAAACCATCCAGGCAGCTCAGTGTCCATGTGAAGGACATAAGAGGATTGTTTCCTAGCGCTTTGTGCCAGACTATCCGCCTTGTTCTAGGGACATGTATAATCTCTGAGTGATTGAAACTACTCCTCAGTATCTTGATTTCTTCTAGGTGGTTTGCAAACGTGGGCCACTCCTCCGGTTCTGAAACCATCTTCACCATTTGGGAGCAATCTGTTGCAAAGGTGACATGAAATTGTCTTAAATTCTTTATATTATCCATCACCCAAATAAAGACTTCCACTTGGGAATGTAGGGGCGATAAGCTCGCTCTTGTGTTTCTGACACCCATCAGTCTGGCAAAACTTGCCAAAGTACTATACCATCCTTGACCCGAGAAGATGGCATTTTATTTCCAAGAACCATCCGTAAAACACCATCTTCCTTCTATTTGAGGTAATTCAGGTGAATCTGATGAATCTGTGTGGGTTATCCGTTGGGCTAAACTTGCTTGTGCCTCTAACCATAGTGTAGCTTCCGTTTCTGCCAATTTGAGGGTATCTCTAGGATCAGTATTTATGTTACTAAATACCATATTATTCTTGGCCTTCCAAATATACCATAATATCCAAGCGAAGTAATGATCCTCCCTGGGTGGATCGATCCTCCAGAACAAGTGATCCATATTTGTGAAAACCGATTGATAAGGAAAAATAAGAGGATTTGAAGGGATTTTGGAAAGAGCCCAGACCTGGACGGCCGGGTAACATTCAAATAAGATATGATTTATGGCTTCCTCCTCTGCTCCGCATCGCTCACACTGAATATCCCCTCGTAGACCTCTTTCCCTTAAATTCATCTTGACAGAGATACAGCCTGATAAGATCTGCCATAAAAAAATGCTGAATCTTTGGGGGGCACTTTATCTTCCACGAGTGTGCCTTCAAAGGAATATTATTTGGTCCTATAACCGCTGCCGGATAGTCGAAGTCCGGGTAAACCCTTTCCACTTTGTAACCAGATTTTACCGTATATTTACCATTCTTAGTGAAATGCCAGCCATCCTTATCTGTCAACTGGAATAGATTGAGAGGTATGCTTTCGATAATTTTTGCATCTTCCGGCGTCACCAGAGATCGAATAAAATGAGAGTTTCATGTTCTGGTTGTTCGGTTAATGAGTGAGTCCACTGTAAGTCTTGGGTGAAGAATGTGTTGGTTAGTGTTTGCTGGTCTCGGGCGAGTGGTTGGGAGCCAGGGATCGTTCCATACGGAAATGGAAGATCCTGATCCCACCCTTTTGATTAGTCCTTCGCTAACCAGAGATCTAGCAGCGACCATACTACGCCATCCTTATGATGGTGAGTATGATCTAATCGGTTCAAATATACTTAAATCCTCAAAATCTAAAAATAAAATATTATAAATAAAAATGAATAATGTAAAACTAAATATTTAAAGTTACATAAAATAGTTGAATTTAAATATTTTGGATAAAACAAAATATATATTTTCGATATTTTGAACATTTTCCTGTTATTTTTAGATATATATATTTGTGACTATATTGATAATTTTTAAATCTTTCATATTTTTGAATATCTAATAGATATAAATTTAAAATAATTAACAGATTTAAATATATAATAATTTTTTGGTATCCAAAATATTTTAGTTTGGATTAGTTTGGATTAATTTGGATATGTTTATCTGGATATTAAACTTTTAGATCCATCTAAGTACTTGATCAATTTTAGTTTTTTTAGTATTACTTTGAAATTTATTTTGATTTGGTTTTACAGATCAAAATAACAGATCCAAATATTTTACTCATACTTATTTTTTTCTACTAATATAAAGCTAATTTATTAAAACAAATATTTTTGGCTTATTTAACATACATAAATATTGGACTATACTTAAATAATACCAATAAAAAGGTTGGCCAATATGTCACTATTTTTGGGCATATTAGAAAATTGACGTAGTCTATAACCATTAATGTGTATTTTCTTATAAAAAATCTTGGTAAATATAATAAAACACGATACAATCGAGTGAAAAAATGTTGCATATGCGTGAAAATAATATGATCTCTACATTCGGCATGAGAATTCTATTTTTCAAATCGATTTCACGAATCTTCTCTTTAGGCTTTTCTGATTTCTGATTTTTTTGTAGTAATTTGATTATGTTTCTAGTTTTTGGTTAAATGTAGAAAATTCTGTAAAGAAAAATAATATTTATGAAGGCAATCATAAAAATGTTCAGGGACTCGGAACGACCTTACAATTCGACGCCTTACATAGATGTGTCAGAAGCATCGCCAGAACTTGTGTTCCTTTCTGAGATGAAGAAAATAAAGCTGTTGCTGCAAAACATTTAGGCCGACTTAAGATTTAATCGTTTGTTTACTTTGAGCCACTTGGACTCAGTAGTGGTTTAGCTTTATTTTTCCGTGGATGAATTTTAAATAAGTATTTTATTTCAAATAATAGAATGATTGATATTGTGGTAGTCATTGATGGAATACAAGTCTTTATGATGTTTGTGTATTTGGGAATGACATACATTTTTCAAAAAAAAAGAATTGGACCGTGGTTCATGATAGGAGATTTTAACAAAATAACTGGATACAATGAGGTAGAAAACTTTCTGACAGCTCATATTTATCTTTTTAAGCAGATGTTAAGCGATTGTGGAATGATGGACTTCCTATTTAATGGGAACATGCTATCATGGGTAGGAAAACAAGCAAGAAGAACCACTGTTAGATGCCGTCTAGACCGAGTTGTTGGTAATGATGATTGGCATGAGAAGTTCCCGCATTCTGCTGTAAAGTATATGTGATTATGGGGATCGGACACATCCTCACAAAACCAACTAGAAAAAAAAATTGAATTTAATAAAAGATGGCTGGATAATGAGGAACTAAGGCATGTCATTCTTGAGGGATGGAAATCTCCAATCTTCCTCCTAAAGCAAATATTGTGGAGCATATTTCGAATTGTCGAAAATTCTTAAGTCAGTGGAGGAGACATCAAAATTTGAATTCAGATTTACTCGTGGAAGAATTTAAAGAGAAGGTCATGGGAATATACTCGATGATGATGCTACAACGAGGAAATAGCAGATGCTCTGAATGAAGTATCTGGTGTTCTTAAGATAGAGTAGATGTTCTAAAAACAAAAAAAAAAAAGAATTGAGTTTTCTAGCTCAGAGAAGGCGAGAGAAATATAAAAAAAAAAAAATCATGCTTTGACAAAGCAAAAAAGAGACAGAAATAAAATCACACAGCTGTTAGTTAGATGCAAATAGAGTTGTTGTTGAAGATGAAGAAGGACTAGTAGCCATTGCCACTAGCTACTTTAGATAAATATTTGAATCATCTAACCTAGAAGATATAGATGAGGTGCTGTCTGAGGTATCCATAATGATTAC